CATTTCTTTAATAAACTATTGATAATTATTACAGGAAAAAGAAGAAAGGGAAAGAGATGAATTACTTAACAGAAAATTTGCACCAAATGTGAGTAAAATGGTTCCTGGAAGTAACTTTTTGAAAAATGTGTTTTTAAACTTTTTATATTTTCTCCATATTAAGATAAATTATATATTATCATATAATTTATTATATATGAATAGCTATATTTTTTAATTTCCAAAAAAAATTATTATTTTTTATTTATTAGTTTATTTTCACTTATGACAGGTCTTTTTAGTATTCAAAGAAAAAATCCATATCTCRACAAACCCATGCAATATCTCCTGTATATATGTTTATGAATATTGGTTAATTTTTACTTGATAGAATAGTGGCGAAACGTCCATTATGATTGACCATGCCTTACAACACAACACTGGACTACAGAATGCTAATAGAGGGATGGATGATATGTTAAGTAGTGGGTCAAGTATACTCACAGGACTGAGAGAACAGAGGAACATGCTAAAGGTAACAAACATATATGAAAATTCACTCACTCAGGCAGCCCAGCCTGGATTRGATTGAGTTGTAAATGTCCTTCATTTTGCTAATAGTTGTTTTTAATAACAGGGTACTCAGAAACGAATTCTCGACATTGCAAATACACTAGGTTTGTCAAATACAGTTATGAGATTGATTGACAAGAGAGCAACTCAGGTAATTTTATGGAGTACATAAACGCATGTGTGTGTCGAGCTAGAACACAATGCAATAGTGTATTTTAATATTCATTTTTTTTGTTCAATCCCAAGCTGTGTTGTGCAGCCGCAATCCCTAKATTATGATAGTTTAGTGCTTTGCCATTCAAGAGTCACAGGCCTGAGTTCAGGAATATTTACTGTACCATAATTCTTATTTTCATTGACAGGATAAATGGATAGTGATTGGTGGGGCTGTTGTAACGTGTATAATAATGTTCTTTGTTGTGAAGTACCTCACCTAATAAAGTACCTCACTTATTGAAGTACCCATTTAATGATGGGCAAATGAATGTTAACATTGCAGACCAATGAGACATTATGTGCAAACTGTAGGCTGCACACAAACTGTTATTTCTACCAGAAGTAATTATAATGTTTACATGCTAACAAATCCAAAGACACAATTCCCATTTTTGTCTACCTCACAGAGTTTTAAATACAGAATTCAAGATGACAAACACAAACGACTTTAACAATAAATGTCGCAAAAAATGTAAATTAGATCATGGGACCATGAGAACAAGATCAGTTTATTAAATATTCCAATAAAATTCCTATCATACAGTATAATTTTACAAATATTTGGTTGTCTTATATATAGCATAGTTTTAATAGAATAAATTCTAAATGCTATAAATACTTGTTCTGTCTGTTTGATTATTACCTGTAAGTTGTTTTATTTTATATTATATATATTATAAACCAGAGTGTACATAGTTTATTATTCTTATATTATTCATTGAAAAAAATATATACTGTATGAAACACAGTATTTTTCTCTTTTTACAAAGTAATATTTTTCATTGAAAATAGTCTTGCATTCTATATGCTGCACCCTGACACTAAGTCACTTAATCATCTCCTTCACAGCCACACTAGTCATGCCTTTCGACCAATGCGGATGACCAATGAGCTTGCAAATGGCTATCTGTACACAATCTTTGTACACTCACTTCATCACCAGGTGTTTTGCAATTTTCAAAGGCACTGTTACATTCAAAGACAGTAAAAGAAGCTAATGATTGTTTAAATCAGAAATAAATAATATAATGTACAAAGATGTGTCACTATTTGTACTGAAGTTATATTGCCTTATTTGCTCTTGTTGTCTGAATCATCCAATGAGTCTAAGCTATCWAGGTCTTTGAGGCTATGCGTGGCTGAACCAGGCCTGAGTGGCTGTTGCTGTTGACATTCAAATGATAAATAAATACCATATCACACCTACATTAAATGAATAATATTACCATTTTTTTAATAAAACATTTGCACAATATGATAGGCTTTNTTCATGTGACTCTGCTCTAGGCTTTGCTGCATTTATGACCTTGCAGCCATAATGATAAAGTGGATTAAACATCACAATTATATGACTCAAATACAATGCATTTCTCCTCTTTTGGAACTAGTTAAGCAAGCCTGTCAAAGTTTAGGCAACCTACTGTTACTGATTTAAGTCATACCCTTTAACCTTTCRAAGTAGTAACATTTACAAACAAAACTTAACCCTTTCACGACATTTTTTTCTTACTTGTGATTTGTCAGGCTTCCAACCAATGAAAAACAAGATTTCAAATGTAGCTGGAATAGTTCCATCATCTAATCCATACATGTCTACAATGTAACCAAAATATTGTCACAATTATGAGGATATCATTAAATTAATACTTAAAAAAGACTAAACAAAAATATAAGAGTAAAATATAATGATAACAATGATTTCATTTTCATTTGTTGTACTACTGTAATATTTTCTTGACTGGAAACTGCAAACCTTCATCAAAAGATGATGTTGTCACTTGAGATGTTGTGGATTATAGTCACATTATTGACATTGAATGCCTTCCTTGACATTTGTCTCTACTGTATGTTGGTATTAATGTTAGTCATTAATTAATTAATTAATTAATTAATTAATTAATGTTAGTCATTAATGTTAGCCATTATTAATGGTGTTACTATTGAAAATTATAGATTTTTCATTTTCATTCTTTAAGCAAAGTAACATGTACCTTGATATATTGCAGCTGCTGCTTTTGCTGTATCTCTATGCAGCACATGTTTCCGGTTTCTTGATGCATTGTTTTCTCCCATTCCTGTGTTATTGAAAATTAACAGCGCTCAGTGATTTAGTTCAGTATAATAAGACAAACATTCACAGGAATTAAAAGAGGAAGGAGAATAATTACAGATACCTTTTAAGTCATTCATTAATTCAAACATGTTAGGATATCCTACTGTAATGTCATCAGTATCCTGTCGTATAAAAAYTAAATAYAATKACAGGAATAATAGTTTACAATGTARGCTAAGATCAAWTATTTGACTGGACACTTTATTTGGACAGATGAATACAGAATGAAGTTTGTTCCTTAACAGGATTCTGCACCTCYCCTAATCTAACTTACCACAGTGGTTAAGCTAAAACCAGCTCTTGACAGTATATTTCCAATGTCCCTCATTTGTGTAAATGGTGATATGTGCACTCCAAAACCCTACAAAAAGAAACCTGGCATGATTATAATAGAGTATACCCATATTACACTATGCAAACACCATTTCACAGACTAAAAACTTCAAGAAAATGCTTTATGGCATTTTCAAATTGTAGTCATATCTTTTAGTTGTATAATAATTTAATAATTAAACTTATTACCCCTTCTTTCTCTGTTTCTGCAAGCTGTAAAGCAGATCTGAGTTGATACAGTGTATCYCCAGCAAACATGGCTCCAATAAATGCTCCATCTGGTTTAAGACTGTATAAAACCTGTCAATCAATAACTGTGTTTATGATTACTGTTCCGTCACAMTTAAGAGAAAATCACTTTGATACATGCAGCACATCTACTTGAACTACAGGTGTCAGAATTGAAATGACTTTATTTTGCCATCTGTATGGGGCTGGGGTTTAGGGATGAGGATGGCTCTAAACAAGCTACGTCTCAGCTTTCAGAAGGCATAATTTTTTTGGAATTTTGATCTGAATAATAATTGATATATTTACTATCAGCTTACTTGTTGAAATACTCCTGGAAGATCATTGACCCAATGAAGGCTGGAAAAGAAAATACATTCACATAATAATTTCATCACTTCAACAATAACAATGATTTAAAGAGTAGAGAACATTTGTTAGAAAAAAATAAATAACAAATAAATATAAACTAGAGTAAGTGAGCATGTTCAAGTTAGCTAAAGAAAGAAAAAAAATTAAAATTAAGACATTACAAGATATCTGACTATCTGAGGATAAAAGCATTTGATATCATCGGGCTTGAATGGAGGAATGAAATGAATAATTGTAGAATTGAATGGAAAATTGAATGGACATAAACAAATATAGCAATAAATGGATTAATAGTTAAAAAGGAGAATGAATATCAAAGAAATAATAATACAATGAGCACATGTAATGATAATGATTGGTACGTCAATTTACCTCAAAGAGCTCAAAACAAGATTGAAGGTAGACTCTTTGAATGGGAGAAATTCTTCATCTCCGTGAACTTTTATGGATGGGATATCTTTCAAATCACATTGGTTTAAGAAATTTTCTGACGAATCAAATAAAACTATTTTTCCAACTTGTTCCTAAAGGAAAACAAAAGTTTTTGTTATTACATTACATGTAAAACTACAAAATTATCATAATTAATATAGGACAAACCTTTGTTAATTGCTTTGCTACGTGACCTCTTCCACACCCTAAGTCTAATGCTAATGGGAAATGTCTGAAATMATGGAAAATGCATGTTCTTTACATAGTCTTGTTGGGGGCCCTGTGGATTTATTTCCACAGGAAACCCATAAATATCATGTGTAAGCATATATCTAGAAAACTAAAGAAAGATAGTTAAAAGAAATKCTGGATTCTTTCAAAATTGAAATACCTCGAAATATCTCCAATCCTATCTGCAAGTCTGCTTGCAATCTGTGGAAAAAATAAAATATTGAAAGTTCTCCTTACATTATATGTGGTAAATTATGTCGGAGATTTGCTRAAAATGAACAGAAATATCTTCTCGTGATAGCTCGTACAAACCTCATCCTTTAAATAGTCGTAAATGGCTACATCTTCCCTCAAAGCTGCACGATTTCTTTGAATTCGTTTTGCTTTCCTATCAAAAACGTTCATGACTGTTTCTTGCCCTTGAACGCTGCTGTAGCATCTCCTTACCAAGGTGCAGGATATCTTTGGTGCAGTAATCCTCCTGATCATGTTAGAATATTAAACTAAATCTAAAATATTAGAACGTTCACTGACATAATAAGTTCACAACAACATTGCATTCTGCCTTGACCCAGGCTTCCTTTCGACAATTTGGGTAAAACGGATAGGGGTAGGGTGAAAAGACCAATTTGGCAGTGACCTCAGTTACGCGTAAAATTGCTTTTTTCAATTAAAAGAATTATAAAAGAAACAAAAAATAAATCAAGTCCCTTAATGGTGATATTAGAATTAATAGATAAAATCTTTAAGAAAAGAATTTAGGACTAACATTTTGACTTTACACCCTCCCCCGCGTAAACACAATTAGTCTCGTTCCAGTCTCCAGCTTCATACTGGGGAAATATTTGGCGGGAAGAAGGCGCGAAGACGAAAGCAACATGTTTGCAGAGAAAATCGATGAATTGCGCTCTTTTATCATCGCACAAACAAATCACCGATGTGTTCCACACTGGAATTGGCTATGTGMGAAGCTAGTTTCGCTARTATCAAAATATCCTTCAGGAATAACTAGAACTATCATTTTAGCCGAGGTTCAAAATTCTTGGGCCACAGTCAACCAACTTCAGGGATACAACGAAACTTTCAAGAAGAGAAAYGTSAATTTAGACTTTGTAATAGAGGGCAGACGRATTGCATACGATTCGATTATAGAGGTGAAAGTGGACGCCATTAAAATTGTTCCTGGAACTCATACRAAGATCGCAGTTTTGAAGGACTTTGGGGGTAATAACCTAGGTAAAAACACAATAGAAATGTATTTACATCAGAAYCTTTACGAAGTWGAGGGAGTTATTTTAAAGAATAAGTTYAGGTTTACTGGATGTCGTCTTTGGAAAAGTGGAAATTCCCAGCAGCCTCGTCTGCTTCCTTCTGTAAATGTTGTTATTTTGCTGGAGAGCAGTGAAAGTTCTTGGGTGGATGYGGAATTCAAATCCTTACAGGAAATCTCCCYAGAGGCCACTCAACCTCATTATGACGTAAGTGTCAAAGTRGAAGTTGTAGATGTTGGAGAGGAAGAAATTGTACACCTTGCAAATGGAGAAACCAGCGTCAAYAGAACTGTCATASTGGTTGARTGTAATGACATTCATACAACTCTTTCTCTCTGGGATGATCAGCTGCCTATGGGTGATTTGTTCAAAAAAGGAGACATTRTAGCTATATGGCAGCCTTTTGTCATACCATGCCCAAAAGAAGGCTATACTCTTGAWTACGGACCAGCAACTATTGTGTATTGCCTGGTAAGCGACCTTGGACATGAGGTTATACTTASCCAGATATCTCAAAACAACCCAGTGTKTGTTGCTAAAGACAGCCARGGTGTGCTTGACTATTCAATGTATCCAGAGAGAATTTACATTGCAGACTTCAGAAGCACCATGATGAATGTAACAGTAATGGCACAAATCTTAAAATTGGAACCTAAAGAGAATTTCAATTTAGATCAGTACAATGGACACATGTTTGGCGTTACCATTACTGACGGTACACAAACAATTGATATCAAAATCTATGACCATCTTCAATGRCATCATGAGTCATTGTATCCAGGACAGTGTGTGGTCTTTGAAAATCTGTATTGTACAGGTATTTTTACTTCAGTGACATAAGGGACGGTCCATTTAACTTACACAACATCTGGACCTAAAACAAAATCTTGCACCACCCTAAGCCCCAAAAAAATGTTACATACAAGAAGAAAACAAATCCTACACACCACCAAGAGAAAAAAAATATATCCTACCCAAAAGCCACGAAAAAAAAATCTTGCTCACAAGAAATCATCCAAAAGTTAAATGGACCGTCCCTAATTGTACTTATAACCGTGTAGCCCTCTATGCATAGCCCTAGCCCGCAAATTTGAAATTATTTTTAAAAAATCACTTTAAACAGAGTAAAAATTATTGTTCCATTATTTTTGGATTTTCCCAGAGCAATCTAATGAACTCTGCCTCAAGACTTGGTCATCTGGTAAGATTTGGAATGTGAGTTCATCATCTGGYTGGCTATCTACAAAATACCTAGTAACGACCATCGTCAGTCTAGACAATATCAGCAAGTATAACAATAGTATCACTAAAGGTGTGATTACAAGGGTCCTGGGTCATGACAACCAGTACATAAAGAAGGTTCACAAGTCATGTTTAGGGAACATTGATGACAATGTTGGCCATTGCATGACGTGCTTTATTGGTCCATCCCATGAATTCCAAAAGAGACAAGATGGGCAGGTGAGAATTTATTTTTTATACATTATATTTGTGGTTAATAATTTTCTTGCTTTCTGATTGGTTGCTTGAATTGTAAATATTGCTTTGATTGGACTACATCTATTGAGATTGGCTTGCAAAAGAGAAGAAAAAAACAGTATTTTGTGACCATGGAACTTCTCCACTGATCTCTACCAATCAGAAGTTGAGAAAATTTATAAAATCGATTGTTCATTCAAGCTACAAGCAACACAGATTAAGGCAGTGCTCAGAACAGCAAGGTGTTCACAATGCAAATGTTGACTGTTAASTATATCTTCATTTGTTGTAGCTCCAATCCCAGAGCAAGTATTGGAAATGGTCATACAGTGTACAAATAGAAGTCCATGACTCTAATTCCTCAGCAAGACTTCAATTAACCGAGCAAAGTTCACAGCAGTTGTTTCAGATGCCAGTGTTACAATTTGCTTCACTGCCCTCAACTGGGAAGGATAAAATCCTTGAAAGTGTGTTAGCTCAGGAGTATCTGTTTGGTGTATCATCTCTTGAAGGCACGACATTCCAAGTAGATTCCATTTGTCCATCGATCTGAATTTTAAAAGTGGTAACTTTAACTTTTTTGTCAAATGAATTGATTTTCTTAATGGTCAAAATGATAATTTTACAAGTATTGGCTACTCTTGGCACAACACAGTAAGACTGGAAAAAACCAAATTTCTTTAGACACAAGCTTTTAGCTTTTCTTACTAAGCAGGCTGATGACAATTGTCATCTTTAGAAAGCTGACTAGACACATAAAAACCTTTCTTTAGAACTCTCAGGTTTTTGTGAGGTGTCACTTTTCTYAACCATTCTTAATTCTTTATTTTCTCTTTGATTATCTTCAATAGTTCTGGAAATCGTGTTTGCATGAAGTGRCCTTTGTTGCTGAACTTGTGTAGTTCAGCTTCYGTATTTGTGGCTACATATTGTTGTTCTTCTTCAAAAGGAATAAAAGGGTCATCTGTTGATCCAAATTGGACAATCCATTCTGTGTTTTTCTTCATTTGTTGCCACTCCCATGGATGGTTGTAATATCCTGAAATCATTTGATCAATCAGTTTAGTTAATCAATCAATACCTCAGTCAGCCATAATATATGAAAGAAWGAATGAATACAAACTCAAATTGGACCACCCTGGTGTGATACAAGTAATGCAAAAAGCCATCAAACACTCAATGAGGGGTGCATCAAGGAAGCTGTTTAACGACAGTTCATATCTTTATTCATTAAAAAAAAATTGAATCCACAACTTTGTTTCGAGTCAGAAAAGAAAGCCCTGGGGACAAAGTTGATGAATCCACATTTCATGGTTTCTTGTGGACCCACCACAGGTATCCCAATCACTGGCTATTTATGACAAGCAAATGTTTAARCTGAAGTATGTCTTACCACTAGCTGCCTCATTATCATCGCCTAGGTCTGTGAAACATGCAGACACAAGGATTATACCATGGACCTTGTGRTTTTCAGCATATCTAGAATGAAAGCATTGAAAAAATTATAGAATATAAAATACTAGGGARATAGGGCTGTAGTCCTAAACTTTTACAGGGCTATTAACCCTTAGCCTGCGTACATCTGGTTTATTTTCGTATTTACGAGTAAACGCTGGATGAACTCAGGCTATTAACCCCAGGTAATTGTAAATCTTGAGATCCATAAATCAGCTATTTTTTGTTTTGTTTTTCTGTATGACGAACCAAAAAAGTGGTTAAAACATTGTTGATATTTCACAGCGATGCTGTTTTGCCATCATGCTGATTTTTAATTAAAGAAAATCAACTATTTTCTTTATCGAAAACTTTGGATATCTATTTAAGTATCGGATGATATTTCCCTTGTTTCCATTGTCACATGGAATTGTTTGAACACTAGAAAAAATTTGAATCACTAAGCTAAAGCAATTGATTCAAACCTTTCCAATTCTTTTCCTTTGAAGCGTTTCTAACAGAGAATATGAAAACACTGAAAATATTTTTGATCTAAAATATGCTTTAAAAAATAAAACAACTATTTMCTTAAAAGCAATTGATTAAAAACCTTTAAAGTGTTTTCTTACCAATCCCAAGTGTTTCTAATATTAAATGGAAACAAAGAAAGTACCTTCTAATATGAAACAACAAATTTTAAATAACTTGAAAGCTGTGTTTCAATGTTCTCATAGAAACACTTTTTTCATATGTTTTCAGCCAATTAAATGTGTGTGTTATATAATAGAATTTTATTTCATAAGTAATTTTGAATACAAATATAGTACCTCATTGCAGCTTCAGCTCCAGAGCTATGACCAACTATGACTGTATTCTCATCACATTGCAAGTCCTTCTCCATAAATGGAAGCCAGACACTTTCTCTTGCAACAACTTTTAAAKAAGCAAAAGCTCTTTTTTAGTACCTGATTGACTGATGGGTATAATAATTTTAATTAATACAATAATAAAGAGTACAATATTAATGATGAATTTTAACTAATATAATATAAATAATTATCTATACATTAGCCCCTACTAAGGCTCTTGATTGTATTTTTCAAAAACCAATTGACATTTTTTTATTAGTATTTAAAGAAAATCTTTAAAATTAGGTTTCTCAAGCTAATTAGGGCAAATTCTGATAAAACGTTTTGATTTTTCTTAAACCCTCAGTAGTCATATTATGACAGGCATCTTCATTTAGTTTTAGCCACCTTTTATTCCCATTTTTACTCCCATTTCTACTTTTCATTCAGATATGCATTCATCATTTTGGCTAAAACTCATCATTGTCATCACATTTGACTCAGTCCTACTAGCATCAGTGTATTATAGCACTGCGAAAACATTTATAGTGATATCTATCGTCTTTATTTCTTTTGTCATGTGGTAAATTATTCAAAATATTAGAAAAAGTATGTTACTTTTAAAGTTATTAATCAAGTCCCTACTCCATCCCCCCTGTGGCATCACTGGTATTTAAGTACCTGGATCTGGCATATTCTTCAGTAAGCATTCAATGCCATCCTACAAAGATTTATAGATGTTTATACGATTTATATTTTTGATTTTAAGTGTTACAAAATTACCTTTTTCAGCTTGTCTCGAAGCCAGCCATACCAGTTACAATGTTCTATGTCTCCAGCACCATTACCGGGTACGATGACAARCTTCATTTTTGCCACGAATAGCATGGACTAAGTACCAGGATTACTCTGAAACGGGAGCACAGGTAACCCAAAACACACGATCCATACGGACAGTTCTTATAAGGTCATATATTCATCCATTAAATAATATCATATGATAATAAAATGAATAATAATAATAATGTCATATTTTGAATCTTACAATCTATTTCTACATCTATGTTTTATTATCAGCAYGCGCCGGTTGCATGCATCGTTTTGATTATTGTTCGTATTTGAGTAGWGACAAGAGGGWGTGACGTCATATACTAATGGAAACCCCCAGAGAGAGAGGAAATGCTAAAGTGGCTTGCTTTCAGTTGATATTTTTCTTTTTACTTTTTACGAAAAAACAATGAAAGGGTGCGGTGGACTATTGCTAGTGAATTTTGTCTGAAAAGGTTACGCGAAAAGATAAAGTGAATAATTGTTACGGCCACTTCAATTGAATGGCACTAGTCACCATTTGAAGGCGTCATTAAACACAGTATATGCTGTATTTGCCAGAGGTTAGGTGCTTTCTTGTGAATAACGTTCTATGAATTTGAATAGTATTTCTGAATAAAACTAACTTTTATTCGTGGTACGGTCGAATGTCGAGCAAGACAATTCGAAATAGCATTGTGAAATTTAAGCTTGGCGYTTTTCGTGAAAATTGCCTATTTTAGTGTGGGGGTTATGAACGCCAAGGGACTATAATTAACATGATATGCGGAAGTAGTTTTGGAATACTTAGAACATTTGGAAATAAGAGAAAAAAGGTTTTTGGGGGTTGTTTTGAAATCATTTATTACTAATTGTCCCTTTTTTAATTGTGTTTTTYAACTGGTCATATTAAGACTCAGCTCAAAGTGGACCTCGRACCGTATTATTAAAAAAACATCTTTATGGAAAAAAATGATATTGATCGGAATGAAAAAATCCTTGGTGATCAACAGCCGCATTAAGGCTAAACATTTGCATACAAAAACGAGTACTCAGTGAATAGAAAATGGCTTTTGCATTTCCGATTATCTTGTAAAGCTTTCATTGTGAGCTCATTAATGGCCATAGATACCAACTGCTTGTCTTCAATCATACTCTCTGATATAGTCAATATAAGGCACCATCATTAATACGGATTGGACCAGTATATGTGGAATTGCCGAAAGATGAGTTATATTCACGTACGACTAACGAGCCCGAACTGATAATTTCATTAAACACCAATCCAATACATGTCGACGTTCTCGTGGTAAGTTCTTRCATGTTATATAATGGCCAAGAAGATGTCTCGCGTGCCTATTGAGTTGATCAATCTCTTGAACGACTTCATTTGCGAAGTTTTCGCTAAAAAACCTGAAGATATTGCTGACTTCGCCGCAGTTTACTTCAATATTCTAAAAGAAGAGAAAACGAGAAAAGCCATTAATGAGCAGAAAATGTTGGAAAAGAAAGAGCACAAAGATATGGATGCCACTGTTGAAAGTAGTTCAGCGACCGCTGAATTCACTAATGGTTCCCTCAATAAAAGATCTATGTTAGTGAGAAGTCGCCGTCTCGTGCAAAGACGAAACTCAATTGCTGGGGAACCATTCGGGCCTCTTGACATTGACACAAATATGTTGGGTTATAAAGAAACTAGCTACCCCAAATCCAAACCAGTGAGGAATAGACTTGAGAATATACTCAAAAAAATCTTTATTTTTAAATCCTGCGGAGATGATCAGCTTGAAAAATTGATCAACCATATGTATGAACGAAATGTCTTCGCTGGAGAAATCATCGTTCGTCAAGGAGATCCAGGAGAGAACTTCTACGTTGTCGACAAAGGAACATTCGACGTAAATTTTGAAGTTGGTGATTGTAAACAAAGCATTGCTCATATCGAGGGTCCAGGAAGCTTTGGAGAGCTAGCGCTAATGTACAACTGCCCACGCTCTGCGTCTGTGATAGCGAAAGAAGATGGTGTGATTTGGGTTCTTGACCGTTTCACATTCAGGCGTATTTTGTTTACAACGACTGAAAACAAACGAAGACATTACGAGAATCTATTAGAAAACATGCCTATCTTATCTCTCTTGAATGCCTATGAACGAGCCGTACTGGCAGATGCTTTAGAAACGAAAGTATTTGACGATAATTATTGTATTATTAASGAAGGGGATACCGCCGACTGTATGTATTTTATTGAGAACGGACGTGTATCCATATCAGTGCAAGACGAACAAAAAGAAGACCAGAGAAATATCATTTCCTATGCCGAAAAGGGCGATTATTTTGGAGAGCTTGCYCTTGTGTACAAAAGAAACCGAATAGCATCAGTGCATGCCGAAGGAGAGGTAACATGCGCGTATCTCGATATCAATGCGTTCGAAAGACTTCTTGGACCCTGCAAAGATTTGATGAAYAGAAATGCTGAAAAGTACGAAAATCAAAGGAAATTATTGGGAATAAAAGAACTGAACTATTGAACTATAGAATGGAGAAAGTTGGTGGAATTTAGCCAGAAGTAAACAACTTTGGACTCCTTATTATAGTCATTATCGCACGTACAGTCGTTCCTATATCCTATTCAATCGATTTACACGATATTAAGGCCCAGAGGATATTTTCCATAATTTAATTAAGTAATTATATAAATATTAAGGTTTAGCAAACACATGATTTTACAAAAATTGTATTATCACCCGCGAAGGAACGTGTCATAAGACTATATACAAATATTTCCTAGAGCTATGTAAACACGTTAAGTGTACTATAGCTAGTGCTGTATAAATAGTTTATTGACCATCAGAATCATCCAAGTTTACATATATTGTAATATATAGTTCACTAATCGCTAATAAACACCCTCATTAACAGTTCGTATTTCCAAAGCATTTCTAAATGGACCCATTTTGATTTGATGGCTGCTCTTGAGTAGTCTCCAGTCATTGTAGGACCAAACATTCCACCCAACTTCGCCGAGCCATTGACTTTTATCTGGATGATGTGAGCTTTGACGTGGAGCTCTCCATAAGTACATTGCGTCGCTTGTCCTTTCACGAGAAAATCTCGTAGGCCCAACGTAAGATGGGTCGATCTTMCGATAGGAGTGGAAGAGCTTGACTCCTGATGGCCCAGAAAAGATAGACGGACCGTGTTCTACCCGCGTTACCTTTGCCATACTCGATATACTCTGTGAAAGTGTACCTGGTTTTGTTAAGTTAAACGATTAGAATTGTTCAAAAACAAACAAGCAATTAAACAAAAATAACACAGAAGTCATTCAAATTCAAATAGTGCGGCGACGCCATTTTGTATGATATCCGGCCAGGGAAATGTCGTCTTCCGACGTTTTTAGATCCTTAGTCTCGCGTAAAACCATCTTTGTGTTCTCTTGACAGACGCAACTCAACCACTTCAACTATTGCACTAATGAACTTGCAGTGTCGGGGCTTGATAACTATCAGAAATTTCAAAAAAATACCTTTGGCAATAGTGGCGATTTGGGTAGTTTGACATATTGATTCACTTGGTGAGGGATGGAAAAAAACACGAGTATAAGTTTTTTTAGCAAAATTAAAAACCTTCATTATAAATAYGACTCAGTCGTTTTGGTAGTCGGCACATTCAGGATACGTCCTCATCTAAAGCTATACTTCTTATCATAATTACGCTATCGATCTTCGTATCTGTTTTTTGCAGGTGTTATAACTAGATTATCTGAACATCGAATCCAATGGAAAATTGGAATAAAACGATTCGGGCATGCAGAGAGATATTCTGACTCTTCTATGTCAATATTTAGTTTTGATATTTCATTTTTGAAGTTGGACTTGTAAGTTGCTTACTTAAGGATTAAATCGAGATGTGAAAAGCTATTGTCTTTGGGATTACCGGCATACAACGAAAGTATTGAACAGGSTCATTTACGTTGCTTTAATGGCAGACACCATAAAACCTGTTAAGTCTTCTGAACGTCTGCTCCAAGCATGCAAACAGATAATATTCCAAAAAAAAAGCAAAAATAAACTTAATTTATAAAGTAAAGATAAAACCTTGTGAATTTGAAAAAAAAAATTCGCTCGACCTTAACTTGGCTGTCTTACTAGGCTTAGTAATTGTMGTGCAGATTGCAAAGTGGAAAAGACGTTGTTTGCGAATATATATTCGGTTATACCGTAATATAAAATGGTAGAATAGATTGCTTTTGGTATGAGGCAGCATGGCGTAAAACATGTGCTTACCCTTTGTCCACGTAGCAACGTAGAGAAACTTTATCTCGACTAACTTTCACCGTATAATACTAATCTACTTTTTTGTACTGTAGACATCACCCGTTGCCCAGAAACGAAGCTAAATTATTCAAGCTTGACTCGTTGCCTATAAATTATATATATAATTTCCCTAAATAGTATCAATAGGTAGCGGTATGTAGGTCAATATAAGCACAAAACATGACTGCAAACCACAAAATTATCGAAAATTAACACAAGATGTATCGCGAAGTATTTTTTGCGCAATTTTCTTTTTCTTTTTTTAAAGATTTTGCTTATCATCAAAGTTATGTGTTTGAGACTTTTATTCTATTTTCATTTCTTTAGTTAATCATTTTTTTACGGCTGTGAACTATATGAGCGCAGTTTTCTGTATAAACCCGTGCGTGGGTGAGTTGCGCACCGAATCAACTTTTTTTCGCTGACTTTCGSTAAAATTCTATTTGGGATACCGTAGATCGATATCACACCGCGCAGATCGTTAAAAATCGGACCGCGCCACATTACTTCATTACGGCTACTGATTAGTTATTTTGAAGGGGCTCTAAAATTGATAGGGGGCTCAAACGCGCGGGTTTAGAGAAGGCAATGTTCCTAGAAATAGCATTCAGTACACTTTGTATTGAAAATGAAAATATATAATTTACTGAGTATCCGCTGACCAATTCAATCCCAGAATCCTTTAGAAGCGTGAAATGTTCTATGTTCGRCCGCAATGCTACTAGTCAGCGTTATTTCCCATGAGAGTTTTTTTGGAGAAACTTCCACACACACGTGCTGTTTTCAGTAAGTTGTATTTTCTCTTGCAATTTGCCTGGAAAATGGACTCGAATTATGTTGTTTGTCTTGTCAAATCACATATAACCATTTGTGCTCTCGGTTTTGTTGTTGTGATACAGAGGTTGGAGTGCAAAGATGGCTGCTGTCGAGGATACAACGATTAACAAGAATGAGAGCAAAATAGAAAGTTTAGACGCTGTTGAGAAACGTATTGTCAAACAAATAGAGGTAGGTACTGGTCCAATAACTTCATTTCAATAATTTAAAGGCACCTGAAAGTTTAGAAGTTATCAATTATTTTCTTTCGATGAAGTGAAACTAGATTTGTATTGATATGAAAGCTAATGCACTGTTAATACCAAATGATGCAAGTTGATAAATGTTTTTCATCATTCTCTGTTGACAGTATTACTTTGGAGATAAGAACTTTCCAAGAGACAAGTTCCTCAGACAAAAGGCTGAAGAGGACGATGGRTGTATCTTTTTCATATTTTAATGATAATATTTTGAAATATAATTAAGCTTATATCTTTTGTATCTCATGAAATGTGGTCGTCTAGCTGACTTTCCAAGATTGCAAAATGTTGATTTTGGATTTTTACTTATAATTTTTTTGCTTTGTAGCTGTTTGCTTACACTGTATTTGTAACTCCATGAAAGTAAWCTAATTTTTATCAGTATAATAARGTTTTATATCACTACCTTCCTGACCACAACCATAACCCCTCTTTACAAATATATGTGCTAAAAAATAAAAATATAGTCAAAGTTGCTTAATATTATCCTTGACATAGATTACAGGGGTTACATTRGATTGTTTACAAACATTTAGCAGATTAAAGGTATGTGAAGTGTATTCGTGTAGTTATAGTAAAGTCGCATGATTGTTTGTTGCATTTTTTAGAATAATTCTTGTTTTTAATTGTCAGGCAATGTCAGTGGAAAACCAAACTCTTGCCGATGCCATCAAGAGGGCAAACAGTAAATTACTTGAGGTAGAAAATACAACATGTAACTTGTACATATGTATRAACTACTATTTGAATTGYGTGTCATTTTTTCAWGTTTTTTGTTCACCTGTTAAATTTCTTGTAAAGGTCAGTGATGATGATAAGAAAGTTCGYCGACTYAAGTCTGTTCCTCTTCCTGAAAACACAGTTGAAGCAAGACAGACTGCAAAGGCCAAAACAGTTTACTGTGTAAGRTACTAACCATTYCTAMTATTTWCATTGAAATTGTGCRGATATTGAGGACTTTTTAATTACAGAAAGGATTTCCCAAAGAAACTACCCTGGATCAACTAGAAGAATTCTTTGGCACTTATGGAAATGTAATTACACATCTTTTCATTGCAAATATTATTATTCTATCACTACTTAGAATGATTAATACCTCTAGTAAACAAGATGAAGTGTGTAATAGTTACGTTTGTTCCCTAAAGGTCGTTTACATTATGATGAGAAGAGTATATCAAACGAAGGAATTCAAGGGTTCTGTATTCGTCGAATTTACCACATTAGARGAAGCTAAGAAATTCTTAGCAGAAGAAAAGTCTACATATAAAGATGAGGAGCTTATCAAAATGTTGAGGTAGTTCGTGAATTTTTTTTGTGTTTCTATGACCTACATATTATAATTAATCTTGTTTTTTGTTTGTACAGAGAGGAATATTACAAAAAGAAAGAGGAAGAAAAGTCACAGCTTAAAGATGACGAAAGAAAAAGAAAAGCTCAGTATGTTTATTTTATATATATTAATACACTTTGTCAATAAAATGCATTACACATTGGCTAGTTTAAACTTTATCAGGCACATGATAAAGAATTCAGTTTTACAGTTAAAAGTAAAGTTTTGAAAAGATGAAT